GCCGCCCCTGGAGTAACCATTATTTTGGATGCTCTCATAATACACTCGTTTCCCACCAATCAGAACACGAGATTCATAACAGGTATTTTATAATGTAATTTAACAACCTGTGACATACCTGACTATTTAGAATCATGATACACTGATCAAAGTGGTGGTGTTCCATGGTAGATGTGGAATAAAGCTGGGCTAATGGAGTTGCACTTCTGTTGACCACAACAACAAGAACTCACATATCTCATATGACAAACCCTCAACATTATCATAGAATTTGTTAATTTGCCGTATAGTTAGAAGCTCATTGCTTCACACAATCAAAACTGTACATCAGTTATAAACATTAACCTCACCGGTATCACCTGTATTACAGTTTTGAGATTTCTAAAATAAAATATAGGAGTTGCTAAGAGAGTAATTGACTTACTTGATTTGAAATGAGTTGTTTGTTCCTCTATGATCAAGATCATGGCATAAACATGCTACAATTAAGGCAAACTGCTCAACATATGAGAAATGCGGCCCAATGGATTCCCTCTGTACAGGCAAGAACAAACCATATAACTAACACAGTTTATACTACTAGGTACGTAGGCTAGTATATTTGATTCTAATCACCTTCAGCATGGCATACATGGTCTGTGCTACATTGAATGCATGTCGCCAGTTGTGGTACATTACTGGTCTGTAATTCTTGCGGACTGTCAGAACAAATCTACACAGAACCTGAAAAATATAAAACGAATACTTTAGAGGATAAAGTAGATTATCAGCACAAAGTTAGAAGATGACTGAAAACTTCTTTCAAGTTAAACTAATAACATTAAGATATATATATATACCTGATAATCTACATGTAACGTYTGAACTATTTGCAGGTCTGTGAACATGGCCAGGACACCTTTCAATGTATCCTCATCACTAATTATATTGTCATCAAATGTAAAATCTGTAAGACGTAGCGTATTAATACTTGGAAGAGATTGCTCCTGCAAACAGAATTAGTGTTAGTATTGCGTGTCATAAGCTACTTTAGTAGTTCAAATGTATCAACATATATAAAGGATATTACATGGACGCGTGGAGATACGAAATTTATCTTCGAGTGTGGAAAAGATCTCTCACAAGTGAGCACAGCGAACGAGTGAGAGATTTTCAACACGAGAAGATAAATTTCGTATCTCCAAGCRGCCATGTAATATTCTGTTTATTATATAATTATCAATGAAGTATGTTTTGGCTTTTTCAGGCAATTCTTTCCGTGTATTTTTGAAATAACATGTTATTTTCACATGTGAAGATATCAATTTTTCGAAATAGAGAAAAATAGATATTTCATTGGTAATTATATAATAAAATATGATATTTCAAAGTCACCAAACACTTACTTTGAGTTGTATCGCATCTTCTATGGGAGAGGCAGCATGGTAAGACAAAACCTATAGAAAGAGAGTTATCTATCAATTTATGGCAACAATACTAATACCAACCAACTAACGACCTACCGATAACCCACCAACAACCTACCAAAACATTACACCAGAAAGAATTCAAAAAAAAGACTTGTCATGCCATCTGTCACGACTGCTACCTCATGATAATGCAAAGGCTCTATAGTCTGATCACACCAAGCTGTTCTTACCTCAAGAGCCACCTTCCTTTTGGCCATTGCCTTGTTCACATTCTCATACATTACAGTGCTGTGTATTGCCATACCACAGAAGATTGCAAAGGCCTGTCAAGTAAGAGATGATCATTAAACATCAGGGTTTTCACCAACACAAGTGAGATTATCAAAATCATTGACATTTGAATAACGCTATTATGTGGTTCCAGAAAATATTCATACCCCATCCACAGAGAAAATTGGAAATTCTGGAGGGGAGGGGGGGTCAAAGAAAGAACAAAACTAAATTACAGAGTTTGTATGGAAGAAAACTGGAAGTAGGGGTAGGGGGGTTCTTTTACAAATTCTCTCCGTGTTGGGGGAATAAATATTTTCTGGAACTACAAATTGAACTCTTTTCACTGCTACATGCTGATCAAGACAACAGTTGCAACAGGGATATAGGGCAATACATTGCCGCCAATCAGATAACATAAAGGTACCGATGAATTTATTTCATTGACAGAAATGTATTGCCCAATTTCCCTGTCACGACTGTTGTCTCGATCAGCGTGTAGCAATGAAAAGAGTGCTAAAGCCTTTTCTGATAATCACATTTTGCCCATTTGTGTATACAACCTAGCTACCCAGGTTTAGGAATATAACGTCTATGAGTATGTCCCATTCACACTTCCTTGTAATATAACTACCTATAARCTTTTGTAGATCATTACATCAAATCAAAAGCAGTACAACTAACCTCAAAYAAATTCTCATCGTTTTTATTGAATGCTGTACCATCCACTTTATTTAACAGTTGGACAACTCCTGGAGAAAAGTACCGTGATTAGTATGAGAACTAATGCGAATAAATCCCAGACATACATATTTTAATGATATATTATGATACCTATAATCTCTCCAGAACCATTCTTAATCGGCATACACAGTATCGTTTTGGTTTTAAAACCAGAGGCTTCATCCACCTTCAACAGTACAAAATAAACAAAAACAATTCATATTAAAAACGGATTTTTACAATGTTAAAATCAGCTCTTAAAAATAATGCTTTATCTACTTACTGAGGGATCAAATCTACTATCTGCATATGCATCTGGTATGTTTAATGTCTGCAAAAAAAGAAATCAAACTTGTTGATCTGGGATCCCTGTGGTAGCTCAATAACACAAGGATCCCACATGGATTGACATTTATCCTGGTAATATTTACCTGTCCAGTTGTGGCAACATATCCAGTAATACCAATGTTGATTGGAAACTTAACTCGTTTGTTACTACTGTTGAAATAAAAAAKAAAAATCAATGACCCTACTAACACTATTTAGGGAAGCTCATTATTTTAATGGGGGGGAGGGGGAGGGGGGTGGGTGGTGGTTTTGTGGAGGGTGACACCTTTTTATTTTGATCTAAGCTTTTCCTTGCTGACTTAATAGGAGGGCCATGAATTTCTTACTGAGTGAAAGGGTTAGGACTAAAACCATTTTTAAAAAAATCAAAAATCAAAAATCATTTTTAAAAAGCTTGCCGTGAATTTCCCTTACCCCACCCCCCAAGAGAAACACATATCTTCCCATAAAAGCTTATGTGATATCGTTCGTATTAATAATATCAGACGTATTAATAATCATTACTAAGATGTACAAACCAGGATCTCTGTTTCACTGTCACTGATTTATCAGAAACATCATTTTGTACATAATCCTTGGCTTCTAAATCAAAGGCCTGTGAGAACAGAGTCTAAAACAATGAGAAAGTAATATATCAGCAAAATCTCCTGTTTGAGCCCATCGAACAAGTTAAAATGATTTAATGTACATAATTTGACAGCTGCTTTGGTACCTTTGATGTGGGATCTACTAGTAGCACAGAACATCTTTCACACTGTAACAATGTCTGTGTAATCATCATGATTTTATGAACAATATTATGCAATGACGTCTGCTCTTCAAATATCGTCCTTGCCAGGTCCAGTAACACCTGCAATCAAAACTTGACATGGTCAATAATTTTGGCCTAAGATTTAACTGGTATATTAGTACCAAGTATATAATATATTAGGGAAGAACCAGTGTCATATGCTGCTAATTCATTGCCTCTCATCAACATCTCATAGATCTCCATTCACACTATAATACCAATAAACTGGTTTTATTTTTTATTTTCATTTATCTTTAGAACGCTAACTAGCAAGAATATTTTTACCTGATTTCTTYTGATTTCTAACTGTGCTCTTTCATATAACTCTGCATTATTGATTCCTATTCCACAAAAAACTAAATACTTGGAAAAAATCTGAAAAATAAAACTTTGCATGAGTACAAAAGTGCATTCAAAGTATATGTACTGTTCGAGAGAGTATATGTACTTTTTGAGAGAGATTTCCTTTCACATCTTAAAACAAACAATATATTTCTTTTTCAATGTACTAAACTTGAAGTTAACTTAGAGATACCTATCCATGTGAAGCCCCAGGGGGTGGGGCACTACCCAGGGGAAACCGACAATAGGGTAACAATATCTGGGTAGTGGTTTTGACATTGCTAGGTGCCCTGCACCCCCTGCACTAGATAGAGTAAGAAATTTGGCATAGTTACAATCTTAAGACAACAGAGAAAAAAGTTCCTAGACACCTTCTTTCTCACTTGCCCTAACCCCCTTCCCATATGTCTGTATTTACCCCGGGGGCAGGGGGGGTTGAGCCCGGGAAAAAAGTACCGGGGATGCTCGTCGGAAATTTTCAAAAAGACCCCTAAAAGATACCGGAAGTCTTTAAAAAAGGGCGTGGCTGAATGATTTTTAACCCCTAAGAGATACCACAACAAATAATATTGAATTAAAAGTGCCTAGGATAAGCCATATCGATGCRCGCATCTTTCCTTTTCCGACACCCTAAGAGACACCAGAAAATGCTGATTTTCAAAAATTCGCATTTAACACCCTAAAAGATACCAAATCGTGAATTTTTACCCCTAAGAGATACGACGAGCATCCCCGGTACTTTTTCCCCGGAGTCCCCCCCCCCCCGGGGTATTTACCTTGCTGAAGGAATATTTTATAGTTACGACTTTAGCCAAAAACAGGAACAATGATTACCTTTTCATCTTCTTGTGTAAAAGCTTGACTTGAGTCATTGTCTGTCTTGTTGATGACCTGTGCAACTCCGATCACCTATAATGTGGTATTAGGTCAATGGCTTAGATAAAAAAATCTCTCTAAATAAAGAAATGTATGTGAAAAATGTCWAAAATGTGTCTAAAATTCTTTTTATCAGGTTGTTGAAATCTTTGTTTGATTTATTGGTAGATTATTGACATTTTCTTTTGCAGACTATTTTAATTATCCAATAATGGCAGTCAGCAAAGGCTATTTTGAACTGGTTGGTTTAGTGGCATATAATATCAGGTCATATACAGCTCATATACAGCTGAAAAGGTTAAAGAAAGATGTTTTCAAATATTTCATCAAATATCAAAGTCCAATGAATGGTCTCTTTTTCGAGTAGAGTTGTGTGTTGGTTCTCTCCTGTGCTTCAAGTATTTTCCCACAAATTATCAGGTTTTCCTCCAAAAAAATTAGCTTAGTGTTGAAAGCTTAACGGGAGCCTTTAGAGATTGAGCAATTTGCTTTTTCACTTAAAAAAAAAAAAATTCAAGAATGCAATGAAATATTAAGGTCCATTATTTTTATCAGGATGACTGATATCTTCATCTATCATTCATCTTTATCCCCTCAAGCATATTATACTTTTTTTGCATTAATTAAATTAGTTCCTAAATATTTCAATTATCGATAAAATTGGATTAGTAAGAAAAGACTTTGCATAAAAGAAATGTAGCCGAAAATTTAGTTCAATCATATACCTCATTCACACCAAGGCTTAAACATGTTTTAAAGTGGTTTAACTAAACAGGTATGAAAAACTATCTATGAGCACTGCACAATCTTTGGTAAAATAATGCATGTAAGCTATCATTTGTCTTGCTCTGATAATATTTTAGAAAGTTTCATTATATTGTAGGTTTCTAGTTTCTCATTTTTTTCCTAATTGAAACACAGTTTAACTAAACATGTTTAGGYGTGAATGGAGTATTAGACTGTCCTTTTTGTGTCTTATTAAGTTATATAAAAGAAGTGAGAAAGTATTTCAACGTGCTTGTATGTTGTAGTTTGTTGTGCCCTATAACTCGTATATATGTTCCTCTAATTACTATGATACATGATCTCTTTGCTTGCTACATTCAGTAAAATACATAGGTGAAATTGAATATGATGAGATCAAATGATTAACAAGATCACTTTACTACCTCTCCGTCATGATCCTTGATTGGCATGCATAAAATACTTCTAGTTTTATATCCTGTTTTCTTGTCAATTTCTTTATTAAACCTAGCATCCTGAAAGATAAAAGAATATTGATGTGTTTAGTTTAATAGGACCATCTTGTAAGGACTTCAAACTATTAAATGAATAATGTCCTTTGATATGRACCCAAGTAGATGCCATTAGGTGGCTATAATCCTATGGGCTATCATCATAACAATTAACAGCTATTTTGATTATTCAATTTATAGCTCATATATTATATTATGAGTTATATTACAAAGACAACCAAAAATATTTGACTTCAACATTGAGCTATCAAAATTCAAAAATGCCTTGTAGCAACAACAAAAAAGGTCTTCAAAACAAAAGGAGTTTAATGGTTTTACAAAGTTTGAAAAACAAACTATTAAAACAAGAAAGGACTGTTTGCACTTGCTTTGACCAGGCAACAGAAAACATATGGATAAGAGTTTGACAATCATTACTGGCCAGGATCATATTTCTCTACCAACATACAATGGCTATATTTGGATGAGCTTAAGTAGTTTATAGAGAGGGGTCACAAAAGTCAAACAAATAACAAAGGTATATATAGAGTAAAGGCCATGGACCCAAAGTAAGCCCTGTTATTTAGATTGATCTTAAATAAATACTACGACAATTATATATAAAGACAATTATAACCTGAACACATGCCTAAATGAAACTATACAAACAGCTGGTTTAATATTGCAGTATTATTATTTGGGTGATTTACAATGTGGGACTTACTTAATGTTGTTTTGTAAATTACCTGCATTTGGCAAATCRTCAAATAAATAAATAAATTACTGTYAGAATAACATTGGAAATAATGAATAATCATTATTCATGTCACTACATTTGATACTATGGTTGTAATTATTGGAAAGATACAATATTATTCAAGTTCAAATGACAAGAGCCTTGTAAATGTAACCCTTATGGCTTCCCAAACCTAAAAGGCCACTTGACTATTACATGTACTAAACTGATCAACTTTTGAATCTAGAATTACGTGTGAATAATTAACTAACAAAACATTGTGACAGTACAAAACCTAAAAAAATATACACGATAAAAATATATATCTAAAAAATGGTTTCAGCATTTACCACAGTGTCAAAATATTTTCCTAATTCCTGTGCAAAAGGAAATAACATTGATAATCACTGATAATGAAAACAAAAGATGAAAAGCTTTAACCATCTTACCATGAAATTATCTCCACAAAAGATTGATGGATTTACTTAGAAGCAAATCAATCAAAAATCCTGTCCTTGTTTGTTGGCAAAGTTTTCATGTCATCGATTACTTTTAATGATGGTTCTTATCGACTATGAGACAAGGAATATCAAGACTGTCAAACATCAAGACCACCAACCAGGAAACTATATAATAACCCATTTGCTAAAAACCAATCTTTAAAAAAACATAAAAAGGGGGAAATAGAGAAAAATGAAAGACAGAAAGAGAAGCATAAAAAAAGATGAAAGACAGCCAGATAAATGACAAGAAAAAAGTAAGAATTAATGTTTATTTATAAGAAGAAGAATATTTTAGTGTAAATGAAGTTGATGGCAACTAGTCTATCAATTTAATATATTGCCATTATCATACTTTCTAGTTTCCAGGTTGATTTAGTAGACTTGTGACCAGGAAAAATAATTGGTCCCTTTTTACAAAAACACTTCAAAGTCATCACACGTGGATGTCAAATTCCAGGAAAAGTGTTAGCCTATGTATACTTATTTTACATACACTAAACCCATGTAATAACATATTTTTGAAATAGTCTACCTAATGGTTCAAAAACTTGTGATTATTTATTTATAAATAACCTCTTTTTTTTTCAAAAAAAAAAAAAAAAAATTTATGAACTGTCCTTGATGAGGTTTTCAAATATATATAATTGATAAAAGCAGTAGGAAAATTTGCATAACTAGCCTAATTTTAAATGTACTATAATAAAGTAATACATCAATTACGACAAKACCAAAACTAGGTAGAAGTGTGTGCTTTGCTTAAGGAGGACATTATTTCCTGTCTAAAGTAACAGCTAGTCATAATACTATTATGCACAGAATTGATGAAGCAATATATAGTACTGTCATAACCTAGATTTGAAGTGAAAACTTGTAAAGATAAACACAAAAACGGACAGGTTTCTAAGATCATAAACAATAGCTACAATAGGCAAGACTTAATGGAGCTGAAAGACATAAATAAACAAAGCATACTAGAGATAAAAACTCTTGGGATAACTTATCATTTCTATGCATTAGATTAATAAAATATCATTTCACTGTACAGAGTGTATTTGAATATTTAAAAGACTTTTGCACCTGTCTCTTTCTTCCGTCTTTTAATATCAAATTCTGCTCCCTCCACAGAATAGTACAGAACTAAATGTAATACAATATATAATATAGTGACAGTGCAGAGAACTTGGAATTAAGAGTCCTCAATCCAATCACAAGTGCATCTTGACTAACTAACATATGTGTCATTCAACAACAGTTATTAGAATGACTCCAGGATGTTGAAATAAGGGAAAGCTAGCTAGATAGACCTTGGAATTCATTTAATATGCAATCTGTTATGAATATTCAAGTTAATCTAATTTCAAAAATTAATTTCAATAAAGCTTGTCACAAATGGTTTTCTTATATTGTCTATTATTTCAAAATTAGACTTGAAATAGCCAAAAAAGATGTGTATTCTTTTTCTACACTGTGGAGTAGCAGGCCAAAAAAAATGATTGCAAATTAAAATACCTTTACAAGTTCGTACAACACGATTTACTGTTCGATTGTGCTAAGGATCAGTTGTTTGTTTTTGAACTGATTTCCATTTTGGTTGTACATAATATTTTTCAATATGTTATGAGTGTTTAGGGCTGTACTTTCACCATAATGAGACGTGAAAAATGATCTGTACTTCGCGCTGAAACAAGATTTCGTCACTCGGTGTTCCAATAGACATTTGTCAACAGCTGAGTCAAAATAAAATGTACATTCAGAACAATGTGGTTAGGCAAACAACGTTGGATTTAATAACACAGTCAAGACATTTTTACTAAAATATAAGAGTAATTATCATGGCATAGGTTAATTCGAGTTCTAAACACAAACAGGGCGAATATGTTTACATCAGGAGTTGGATATTTAGGAACAGAAGGAGAATCACTCAGGATAGATTTTGAACGGGTCACGCATTTCCAGACGTAATAATGCATGACTTTCATATTCTACTAGAACTAGTAGGATTTGATTATCTTTCGCAAATGAACATGTTGTGCAATGAAGTAATTGGAAAGGAGAGCGATATAAGTATGATTTCTATCTCATGTGAGATAATACAACTGAATATCAATGGATTTGCTAGAAATCCCCATGAACGCCTCATAAAGTGTGATTATGAAGATAATTCAATAATACTGCCTCAAATCCTTCAGCCCAACCAAGTCGAATTGGCTCTACTAAACACTATATACGACACACTTTTTTCATCATCAAATGGCTTTTTAACTCCGATATTTTGAATTAGTCAATAATAGCACTCTGGGTTTATAAAAATAGATCGTGTAATTCATTTTTATGATAGAGTGTAGTGGCTTTTCTGGGCTGTGAATTCATTAGGTTACAGAAGACAACTCAAAGCAAGCTCGCCTCAAAAAAAATTATAACAAACGAATACAACCAAAATTTGAATTTCCATTTGAACACCCTTATACAACAGCTTAAAAGCAACTTTCCATCGCCGTAAACACGATAAAGTGCTTGACATTTCTGGCCCCTTAAGTTTTACAGACAAATTTGAAGATGAAAACATAAAGTGTATATAGTCTATATCTAATAGTCATAGCAGAAGATTGACTTGTGATTTCAACCCTTTACGAAGATGGACGGGAGGTTTTGTCAATATTATTGAATGAGAACTTGGAGCCATAGATTCTAAGCTCTAATATATGGCACAACCACATTATATTAGTTATAGTAATAGGAATAAGTCGACTACTCTGCCCTTAATCGATTCAAAGGATGACTTTTTTTGCCATCAAAAGTGATGACCCAAAGCTTTCCCAGTCAAACGCAATTCCTCGCATAGCGTTCACGCTGAACCAAACACATATTAAATGTTTATTTTATAAAGACACTTACTGATGTCTTTTGTCTTTGAAAATTTATCTTAGATCTAGACTGCATTAAAAACTCGCAATCTGACCTTAGAAATTTGTTGTAGATTGATCGAGTAAGCGTCGTAATCACTAAATGAGGAACGACCTTTTCGTTGGAATAAAGAGCTATTTATTTGTTAGACCTACCTCGTATGCGTTTGCAATGTTGACTGCTTCTCCAGTTTCTGCAACATAACCAACAATTCCAGTTCCTAGTGGTATTCGTATTTCTTCAAGCTCCTGTACATCTTCAAGTTTAGACTCGGCATTAACGTCGAATACTTTTGACACCAGATATCGAGGCCCTTCTTTAGGGCCTTGGACTAGAAAAAGCGAGCATCGATCACCATTTACAAGTAAACTAACATTCTGTAGAATTTTATGACAAAGGCTTTGAACGTCTAAATCGTTTGCTATATCCTTTACAAGCTCCATGAGTACTTCTTTCTCGTCGAGCTGTTGTAACTCCAAGCGAGACTTGCGGTTCCTATGAGGTGAACGTGTTCTTAYGGGTTCATTTGGAGAAAGAAAGCTTGGTTGTCCATCGACAAGACTTATTATTGGTTTCAGAATTCCTCTCCCTTCGAATTCTGAAGCTGAAATCTTTCTTGCTGGTGTAGAACTCCCCGAAGGCGGCGGAGTTCCACTCGGAGTCCGTACATGAGACCGCGAATGAAGCCATGAATCAATCAAGGTACGATTCGCTTTCCTGGCGAAGTACGACTGAACGAACTCCGGATGCTCATCCAACCAGGTTTCTATTAGATGCCCAGTATTATCTCCCTCTAAGTTTATCGTTAAATTATCCGACTGTTCGTTTTTAGTACAGCAATTCGCCATATTGGTAGAGTAAGTAAGCCTTCAAATGACCAGCATGATGATTCACACACACTCTACTGGCTGGATGATCGAGTACTGTTGATACCGAACATACTGCTCAACCTGACAACCAATTGTTTAACTTGATTGACAGCTCCTCGCRCACACTCGATTGGCTTACCGGATGGAATTTGTCGTCCATTGAGAAGGATAGCTCGTTGAGTTTTCCTTCATATACCGCTATCTTGGCAGTTTTTTCCTCAGAGGACACAATTTCATTTAACTCTAGGCAAAATACTGTTTGCAGAGAAGATCTTGGTCTTTGACAACAAACGAGGATTGCTCACACAGGGAAGGCCTCTTAGTGTGCAAGGCGGATTTAGCGAAAACTCCAAGGCGGGAAATTTAAAAAAATGGGAGATTAAAAACTGAAAGAGAAAAATGAAAGATCGTATGGGTGTTTGTTATTATATACGTACACCAGAGATTTAAATAATGGGCACCTTTTTTTATTATTCCGTGAATGTCTATTGATTGGTGCCTGAGTGGCTGATTCAAAAATCCTAAGAGCCGAGAATACACCGGAACACATCATATACCGGACACAGTTTGCAAGCTGAATCTGAACAGTTTAACATATTAGAACTGAATAAAGATGCTATAGGGGCTATAGAGACTATTAAACCCAAAGTGCGTTATGGGAAAACAAATAACAAGACATGCAAAGATACTTCACTGATGAAGTCAAAGCATATATACCCAGAAGTGGAGGAAATAGGGTGTTTTGATAGTTTTACTCATATCAAGCGTGAAAAAGGTAGGATTTGGATGGAAGAAGAAAGAAAACAACTTATAGTTAATTTATATTAATTAGTCGCAATAACAAAATAAATGACGTCTTCAAGACCCTTCCCCATGTGATGCCGCAAAACATTAACTGTAAAACCAACGGAACGAAAAAGGTCGGGAAGAAAAGGAAATTGGACGCTTATGGAGCAGTCATTCGGTCCAGAATAATAATTGAAAACTTGAAATGTGTTTGACACAAACCCACACTTCAGTGGCAAAATAATGCGAAGATTATTCAATGACGACAAAGCAATAGTCAGAAATACAACGGTAGGATGCTCTTATAGCAAGGTATACGTAAGGTTTATTAGAGGCGTTATATATGCGATGGATTTACCTAATGATTTTTGCGCTTTTTAAAAKTTCAAAAAGATCACAGTTCAGTCTTGTTATTCTTCTTTATGTAACTCCTAATTACAAGCTGTTCAGACCAATCTTCTAYAATAATTTGACCTAATCGTCTATTTAAGCAGGATTTATAAGCTTAGTTTGACTCAGTGGTGGTTTCCAATGGCAACGCGCCATATTCTGGAGAATCTGGTCAATCTGCAGCCGTGTAGTCGTCTAATTGACAAAACTAGTTCAGATAAATACTGTTTGTTATAAGATTTACGATAAAATGATTGAATAAAGAACGATTTTTTGTYTCGAATTTGCACTAACTTTATGATGGATGATTCGTGCGCCCAGTAAAAAAAAACAAAGCGGGCGGCGGACTTTGCGAAAGTCTACCTTCCACAGTACGCAATCAATTTTATTAAAAATGCACCCTTGAATCAATTGAAGATTAATTAGACAATTGTTTGTATATGTTTGAAAATGATTCACACATTATTGAGGGTTCTCACACAATGGGAAGTGGAACGCTGTTTATGAGACTCACTGCAGGATCAAACTCAGAGAATCAAAGAAGTATTGAGAGACTTGTACCAAGGTGAGACAAGAGAGTCTTTGTCGCGGACTGAGAACTGATCTTCTTTTTTAACTGAGCTTTTTGCATCACGCGGAGTGTATTATATTCATTACGAAAGAGAAGCGAGAGGATTCCTTTTAAAGCCATACATACATATCAGTATACAGGTTTATATAGTGAGAATTAAACATAACTGCCAGGAGAGCCGATCTCTTTACCTTAACACTGAGATACAACATTGTCATTCAATCGGCTATTGACGTCAGCGTCCCATGACTCTTTAGTTTTCTCATCTTGATGGATTTTTAAACCAAACATTTTCAAATGAAGAGAATTAAATGACTATTAAAAATCTCCATGAGGTCCTGATAAAAATGCGATTACTGAGTGTATTGTTGTCTGTGTTTCTAGACAGTTCTGTAGACATTCTTTCTCTATAAAACTGATTCTTTTGCAGTCTATTCGGTATACAACAGTCGGTACCGTTGGTACCATTCAAAAAACCGAGTCTGTTTGGTAACTCGTCTAGTTGAATAGAGTCTAGAGTATATCAACACTAACGGCGATTTATACTGTCAGTTTTAATGGAGGAAGAGAAGGGAAGGGAAGGGAAGCGAATGGAAGGGAAAGGACAGACATCTTGAACACAGTCTGCATCATTTTTATCTATTCATTTTTGCAAACTAAACCCTACTTTCCCATCCCGACTGTAGTCTTCTTTTGTCTCTCGGCTTGACTGCCCGTCCCGTTCCCTCCCTCTCCCACCTGATTATTATATTCCTGTACTACAACACTGTGCATTACTGCTTTTAAATTGCTTAAAATCTTGAATTATTGATTATTATATTCTTCAATATATCAGTGGTGGATGAGCTTTTTCTTATAATTTACTTTCAACGAAAAATTAACTCCGAATTACCCTAAGTAAAAAACACAAGAGAACACAAGAGTATAAGATAGTATCGGTGCTCGAAGCGATGGGCGCTAATGAACACTAATGGTCGCCGTAGGAATGGAATATAATCTTTGGGACTTTACCCTCACTGACTCAGATACTCGAGGGAATTTGACTGAGCCTATCGAGGTACGCTGATTAGTAACACTTGCGCTCTAGGATTATGACAGATTTTTATTGCTATCTTCAAATGGATCCCGTCTTTCCTAAAGACCATTAATTTCAATAGAAGAACGCTATAAAATCCCCTCAAGCGATAGACAAGTAACTTATCAAGCGAATAACATCCACGAAGCCTTTACGATAATTCGTGCGATTAGACGCTTGCTATTTAACCTCGGGAAAGTAATTTCTAGTTGAACACTTCTGAGTCCAGTGATTTACCAATCAATGTTTTTAGCTTTTAATTGACAATGCTCTTGAGGATCTTGAAGGTATGAAAACTATAAATTATGATAGACTTATGAAAGAGAAGAGGCGAGAAAAGACGACGCGGGAGGCGCACTTATTAAAGAGCGAGTAATGACTACATTATTTCATGCTCGTCAATTGCGGCTTTGTCTCATTCATTTTTGATAAATATATAATAAATGATAGATATATTAATGAATATTCAGTAAAAAGGAAAAGGCTTATGAATCAACAAACTATACAATAACAGCGAGTAAGTAGTGCTGTCACGTGGTCTCTTTCCATAGGTGTTCATTAAAAACAAATATAAAGATTACGATCAGTACTCTGATTGGTGATGTACCGTTTATTGTCAGTGAAAATAGTCCTCTTTGATTAGTTAAAACCACCCACATATTATGGTAGAAACTGACACTAATTAATGTGCAATCATATCATGACAGATCACTTGTATATATTGTCCATCGGGAACTCTCATGACTGACACAAACACTAATGATGAAGAGGAAGTCTGCTAAACAGCCCAGCCATCTTAGTTGATGTGGTACTCAGTGCTCAATAATGCAAGAAGATGGTTATCGCATGCAAAGTGTTATGCATTGTTATCTACTTTCATGTTTTGCTCTTAAGGACGACGATCAAACCGGGAGCGTCGAGATAATAATAATTAATAATAATAATTTTATTTTATATAGCGACAATTCCTATGTTTAACACCGCTTTACAACGTATTAATATAAAAAACTATGTACGTAAACGCTCAAAAATATGTTACTTGTAATAAAAAAGATCTATATACAATGTATATTATATAAATTCTATATACAATGTACAGGTAGTGTTAATAATTATAATTTTAGAGATTGCCAATGATTTATGTTTTATTCAAATTTTTACTGCATAATTAAACAGAACTATTACCTTTGAAGGTAGCACAGCCGATCCGTAATAATTTATGCTTGATTTCGGTTTTCTTTTGGCAGCTTAGGCAATCTCCTTCCTAGAGCCGAAATGTTTTCGTCGAGCATGCGCAGTAATAAATGGGAATGAAGGAGTTGTGGAGCTCTGATCGATAAGAGGTTGAGCGCATGCTCAGTGGTGGAGGACTGCTGTGCGCATGATGTTAAGCCGACTTATGCCATTACTCTAAGTGCAAAACTTTGAAAGCATTTTAGCGCGCAAGTCTTTTAATAAAGTGATATCGATTCACTTAGTATTTCATGATGGTTAAGTGCTAATGAAAAGGCTATCATAAGCTTTCTTGAATGTGTACTTCATATTTATAAGACGTGTACTGAAGAATCATGCGATCTGTGAAAGAGTCTATGCTTATGATCGAAATTTTCGTGTGGCGTGCAGTAAAAATAGTTGCGAACCATTTTATCCTTTATCGTAATATTGTGCGCTAGTAAACGAACGCTATTTTGGCGACGTGGTATTGCGGTGAGCCGTGTGTTGGAAATTATCATTTTTGCGTGATAGCGGTCTTCAGTGGACTCAGTTTCCATTCAAGACATTTTTGCAATGCGATGTGCAGCATTACATATACGCTTGTAACATGTCATATTTGGCTACAGTTCCGGCTGTATTTATTTTAGTACCAGCCCTCCCCTATCAATGCCCAGGAATACCCCCATGTAGATCATATCCAAACATATCTGTCTGAATACTATACCGACATGGTACAATCCATCCATCCACCGACGAGAAAAAGGCGCAACCGATCAAAAGGCATTGCCTGATATTGAGATGGGAAAGCGCCAGTTGATAATGGCAGTCTGCAATAACATTAAGTTTACTTGTCAAACCTTCGTATCTCAAATGTGTTGTTCGTTTGATTCTCGATTTTCATTTCCTTATAGTTCAGACATTATCGTAGTTATGTTTTACAATTAATATTAGTTTTTTTGATGTTTTGTTTCACCTCGGAACGTCGCCGCGTGCGCCAAATCGCAGCAATCAAGCTGGCCGCACGAAAAGTTTTTCAGTACGGAAACGAGAAAGGCTTAAGTAGGAGAGATGAGCCCTATCAGTAAACAAGAGATGCGAGTGGTGGTCATTAATGATTTGACAAGCAATCAAGTCACATCGTCATTGTTATAATAACGGTCAGTGTTATTGCTTGTTTGTACATTTGTTGATTTTATATATTTATCAGTGCCTGTCAAATCTGTTATTAGGATTTTCTTATCTTTATATCTTGATATTCAACAATCTATAAATTAAATCGTCTGCATATGAAGCTATTTCTTAAAAGGTTGGTAAAGGTTTCTTTGCACCGTTGCAAGTCGTGTACCACGTCCGAAATGCACTGTGGGTCAATATGGAATTTTACCAAACTTTGCGTTCATGTTTTTCCTGTAAATTTTCTTCCGTGCTGACATTATTAATAACAAAATGCAACACGCAGCTAACAGCATGCAACAAAACCTTCACCAACCTTGAACTTGAAATAGTTGTATATTGTAAAGGATCATGGGCAAACGCATTTGTGCGCATACCCAAAAACATCATTATCAAAAATCCGTGTGATGTACGATGTTGATGTACCCAAGGTGCATGGTTGATCATGCCCCGAAAATACCTTTGTATATACCTGAGTATGCATCTACCATGTATCAACCAAGAAGTATATCCGAACGATTAGGAATATGGTAATTAGACATCATCATGCATGCTGTTAAGTTCGCGTGTTATTCGCCATTTCACTGCCATCAGCCTTCTTTTTGCCCAGAAAAAAGCGAGATAACTATTATCAATATAGGAAGTGTGACATACTTTAATAATTTCTGTGCTAAGGAGCTGTTATATGATATAAAATCCGTCGTTAAAGCAAGTTGTTGATTTAGTCGTTAATTAAGTAGAGTCTAAGGAGACTCGATTGACGTCAGAGATGAGACTTGGCGATCTACACGAGGACTCTTATTGGTCACTTGTTCATACGGCGCTCTTTGATGTGATGGCGATGTTTTATCGAACTTGCGATGCTTGATCCTCAACTTCACTGAGATTTCCTGCATCGATGGATACTTCATGGCTAAGGACAGGCGCCATTTGTCAACTAAACCATAGCTTTCTCCTAAGTCATTCCATTGCGTATTGTTTCTTTATTTTCCAATGGTGCTTTAGCAAATATACATGTGACTCAAATGAGGCTTTTTCTAATTACAGACTGACATGAAACTTAAAATAAAATACTGAACTATACGCGAAACTAGAAAATAATGGTTCGGGAAATCCAGAATGAAAGCCTCGTGAAGTGATTTTATTTACAAAGAAATGAATATCAGTAATCTAGCTTATCAATGAAGGAATTCAATTCTGCTAATGGGAAGCCTTTACTTACTTATAAGATTGAGTGATAGAAGTGCAAGATAAAACACAATTCTAATGGCTCTTTTAGCTTTTCCGCTCATTTTTTCATGAGTCTTAGTTCATGTCAGTTTGAAGTAAATAGCCGCTTTGATAATAAGCTAATAGGTTACTAACATCAGCACACGCAAAACATGGCATCTGCCCTTTACATTTCGATGCTTTTGCGTGCAATCTCGTATAAGTTGAATACTTCTTTTACCAACGAGGGGAAGGTAGTTTAGTTCCATACGATACAGTAAATCTTTAACGACAGCTGATTCACTCAAATAGTTTCCCGGCATAATCTATCAATAGAAAGAATTCTTAAATAACCATCTTGGCTTGATATACTGCAAGCAATTTCATATCACTCAATGCTGGCGGCTTTTGATAGTAAAAAGGTTTAGGCTTTGAATCATGAGGGTTGTCTGTTTGGGTGAGAATAATATTTTCAATGGTACATCCAAATCAATCTTAAACTTTCGATAAAAATCCCCAAAAGAGTGGAAAAAACACCACCGTAATGTATTATGCAAAATGATTTAGATGAAATCATTCGGCATCTTCAAAGCGTCTCTGACGTCACATAATTGCCATTGACGTCACAGGTCTGGTTGGAGTTAATTGATGATGTTCATGGCTTGATTGATGGATGTCGTTGCACGTCTTCTTGGTTCACCTCTCGCTTATTTTCACTGCAAGGTAGAATCGATTATCAACTTGCAAGGAAATATTTTTAGGTCTCAAATCTCCACCGAATGTCATTGTCTGCAGGACGACAAGAAGATATCTTGTTCAAGTAGCACTTAATAGCCAGTGGCTAACGAACCTGTGACCCTCGTTCTATGATCGAAGTGATATTTTGGAGGGAAAAATCGGAGAAAATTCCGAGAAAATTCCTTACATGGAAAGACTGCATTGAAAACGATAAGATATTGGGTTTTGAATACTTTAGTTAATGCACGAATCGATTAAGTGAGGGGGATGAATATTTATGATCCAATTTATGAGTAATGCAACCATGACGCATTAAATAAGTCTTCCGTCTTCAATTTGTAAACATTCATTTTAGGAACTGGCATCAAGCAGCGTTAATCTCCACACACCTTGTCTTTATAATAGACACTCGGGCTGAGTGCGGTGTAAGTCAAGATGACCACATAAACTCAAAACAATGTGCATATTACTTAACTAAGACACAAGTATGCTATTTGTATCAGTGTAAACCTGTATAAATAGAACATGACGTGCGCATTTTATTTTTAGGTGCGCAAGTCTCCTGTTAAGATTTTTTCTAGTAAATTAACAATAACAGCTCCTCTAAATGATGTGCACAGGTTCTTAATTCTTCATTGTTCGTGCTGTGTCAAGAAAAGAGACTGCATGACAATGCTTGGGAAGAAGGAAGAATAATTATATTCGTACGTATTGCTTCAGAAGTGTTCGCAAATACGAAGAAAAATATAACAAAGAATGAGTTTCATAAACAAATAATATGGGATGGTGAATGATTTCAATTAAGTCTTCCTGACCCAAACACGGGTACCTCCACGCACTGAGTTAGTATCAGACACATGAGTGATTTCAGGAGAAGCAAAAAGTTCTTCATCAGTGGGAAAAGCATGTACACGTTGCCCTACACCGTATGTAGACCCAGTCCCTCCACTTGGTTCATTGGTCTGCTCTAACCGCGGAAGCCTGGCACGAGGCATATGTTGCAAGAGTTGAAATAGACTACCTCGACCACGCCCAACAGTCGCTATAGCGTCTCTTACCAGAGGAGACTGACCTCGAGATACTGCGGGTAAAGGTCGGGTATTATCCCGCATTGTACTAGGGATGGATCTAGAGTCACTATGTATTGCAGTGTTAGGTCTTGATTTTGGTGATGAAGGAGAGTTACTTGACTGAGAACTACTTAATGGTGGGAAATCTTCATCTCTGAAATTTAACTGAACAAGTCTGTCTGCAGTGTTCTCCATTGCGCATGCGTTCGGCGAAGAGGAGTATTCTCTAACAGCAGCTGACCTGTTATCTGGTATAGTGTCATGCCGTAAGCTACCAAGCTCCTCGGGATTCTTGAAGTAAAAAGCGTTTTCATCATTGAAAAAGTTTGGTGGATGATCTGGACGGCTGCTGCTGGTGTCAGAATAATCACTATAATTTGCCGCCATATTATCCCCTAATGAAGCATTACTTAAATCACTAGATCCATCCGATTCTTCCTCTCTATACAGCTGATGTCTGTTATCCGAAAAACCTGGCGGCAGTTTACTTCTACCTGTTTCTGTACCCCTGCCAAAATATGAGCCACGCCCTGATGATTCAAACAGGCGTGGTTTGTCATCTAAAAAACTTGGCCGCAGTTCAATGTTATCTGGTCCTGTACCCCTGTCCCCATATGAGCCACGCCCTGATGATTCAAACAGGTGTGGCTTGTTATCTGAAAAATTTGGCCGCAGTTCAATGTTATCTGGTCCTGTACCCCAGTCCCCGTATGAGCCACGCCCTGATGATTCATACAGGTCAGGCCGAATTGACTGCTCTCTTAGACGGCCGTGTTTATCTTTATACGCTTCACTAAAGACTTGGCCTTCTTGCCACGCATTTCTGTGACTTAAACTGTCATCTTCGTCGGTGGCATCATGGACTTCTTCGTCAAATTTTCTGTTACGCCTACGATGCTGGAATCTATAGAGTTTTTGAAACTCCTGAGGAACTAAGCGACCTTTGTTCTGTGGATACAAAAAGTGCAATGGGATCAGTGGATATTCTTACGACTACTAGACAGTGTCAGATGGATACACATGCAACCTGGAACGAATGAAGAAGACATGAGCAGAATGAGTTTACCATGTTTTTCTTGTCTGGTGGTTTGAGATCTTTATCATCTCTGATTACACTAAGATACACGTCAACACCAAATATAAACTCCGCCAACATTCTCTCCATCTGCGCCAAACGTAGCTCACGCAAATACATCACATGCTGTTGAAAAAAGTATTCAAACCCAGTCAGAAGGCGAGAATTAGATAACGTATTGCTTGAGAAAGACTTGGAGATTTGAAAATGTAGACCTTCTTCCTTGAGATCTCTGGATTGCTAGAATAAAGGTAAGTGTACTATGGTATTTCATGATCTTTGCTTACCTTGGCACAGGCATCAAGGAGCGGTTGTGATAAGGGCCTTCTTGACCAGATTAGCTCATCTTTCTGAAAACAACAGGTTTCAATCTCAGTATAGCTTTYGTCTTGAGTCAGTCATCTACACTGAGAGTTATCTACAGAATGTTACAGCTTCACATGGTGAAGTCAAAGGCTTATAAAGGAGCACTTAATCGTGACCATACCACCCATGTCTGGCATGCTAATGGTAAGATATAAACAAGACAACAGCCAAGGATGATGTAGACTGACATTACAACAACTAAACTGTTACCTGCATGTTATTGATTCTTATTTTCTGGAAATGACATTCTTCTGGTGAAAGATTCAGATATTCATACAAGCATCCAACTAAGCCATTGACCACCCTTCAAACAAAAAGATGAACAAAACATAAGCTTTAATGATAACGAGCTAAATCAGTGCTAAATGTTATTGATATAGTAGATTGCAGTAAATGTTGATGACACTGTGGCCTGTGTGGAGATGATACGTGATGACATGAGGATGATGATACTTGGAGATGATGATGATACCTGACGATGCATGATGATAATCATGATACCTGATGATAATGACATCATGATACCCAATGATGATGATGATGATGATGAAGATGGTGATGTTGATGGTGATGATGATGATGATGCTTTCAATGATGATGATGATGATGATTGTGATGATGGTGTTGGTGATGATAAGTGTTATGATATAAATAATGATGCTGCTGGTGATGACAATAATAATAATGATAACAAACTTCCCTGGAAAAATCAAATACCTTGGTAATTGTCCACCCTTTTCTTTTTGAAAGATAATAATATCTGCAACCTAGAAATATGATTGAATTCAGCTCTATCATATCTTATATGTTTTATTCACTCTTGCAATACCACATGAATACAAGTCTCACCTGAGTGTCAAACACATTAACAAGCTTTATGGAATACTGATGGTATAATGCATCACTGATTTGACGGCAGTCATGAATTACCTGGAATCAATAGATAACATTACATTGTTATATCAAATTTGTGCCCCAAAGAACACTGTTATTTGTTTACCTTTAAAATGTTTGCATTTTCTAAGATGCCTCCAAGACCTTCATCAAAGCAAGAAGTACCAAGAGATATGACATCAAAAAGATATGTAAACTGCCTACATCCAATCTACAACATGATAAAAATTGGTTTGGAAATAAACTTTATTGATGAATAAAAGAATACAAAAAAGAAAAACTATATAACCTGCATATAGCTAAAGCTAGTCTAGGCAGGTTAAATTCACAGAATATACACGTAGATTTACAAAGATGTCTTTATATGTTAATAATACTAAATAATCAGAGTACAAAGAGCTGAATAGAAAATGAAATTAAAAGGACTAGCTCATAATAACTTGAAATTTAGTGTATTGTGTTGTGAGGGAGGAAAAACCATCAAACCAAGGGAGAGTCCCAACTTACCCCAGATATGAGAAGCTTACTACAGCTACATTAACATGGATTCCTAGAGTAAGGGCACTGGATGGGATTGTTTGTCTTGGGTTTTGTTTGTAGCACTTACCACAAGCCAACAGACTTTGCCATATCTTCCTAAATGAATACCCTCGCATGACAGACCAACAACTCTTTGGCTACTGATGTATTTAATCTGAAAAGATTAAACTTGTTAGTCAACACTGTGAATTTGTGAAGGATTTGACATGATATTACTTACAGCATTGTTGAAATGATCACCATATTCTTGAATGACAACTTTCTTGGGGGGATTTTGGGGTGATACTTCATTCATATCATCATCAGAATAATAATCATCCATTAAGTCTATTAAAATATTACAAATAGATATAAGTAAAAAACATGATGCACATATGATAATATAAACTGTTTTAACAAGAGTATCATGTAATTTCAAACCATTACTGTGTTTAAGGTAGTAATAGTCCCCTACACAGTTACTGGCAGTATCTTAAAAGGTAGCCGTGCCTTTGGATCAAAGTGAGAAAATGGTGAGCTTGCAATGATAGTGACATGTGAATAATTGTCCAAGGTGTCAAAGAAGGTCTCTATCATTGCAAGCTCACTGTTTGATTCGACAAAGACATGGCTACCTTTCAAGATGGCGCAGAAAACTGTAAAGGGGACTATTATTAATACAAGATTATCTAAAATCTTCTCTGTGTCTGATACTCTACATACATCTTTCAGGAGCAAGTGGAGAACGATGAAGCATGGTTGTGCCTTCATCACTAGCATCTCTTGTCACAATACTAGAAGGTTTCTTGGTCTTTTTCATCTGTATTCCTGCATCCTTTACAGCATTCTTAAAAACTGCTGACATTGCAGCTGTTTCACTCGGTTGTTGTTTCATACTTGATTGCAAGGCTGTTGGTTGTACTTTAGGTGCCCCACTGCTTGGTTTATAACTTGCTGGTGTTGAATGATGATGACGATGGTGGGTAGCATTTGTATTAAAACCATTTTCCCTTTAATGTTTAAGAAAATGAAGCCTTGAGAAAAAGGTTGTTTTTTTCATATTCAAAGGTGTATTATGACTATTGGTTACTATCAATAGCCGTCACTTCTGATAATATCTTTGTTTTGACTGAGGGGCAACTAACATTTGGAAGCTTGGAGGATCTTGGATGTTGTATATGTGTATCTTGACTGACCTCTGGCTTCAGTTCGTAGAGATAGTGAGAATACTTTGAGGACTTATTTGGACATGTTTTGACTTAACAACAGCTAGTTGCATATTAATAAATTGCTTCCCAGTCAGCTTCAAAAAGTCATGTGATTGACAGTAAGAGATTTGAAGTCCTTAAGTCATTAAATACAGTAAAAACCCTCTATCGTGAACCTTATGGAGATCAGGGACCTTTAGTGATGCAAGCCCAAAGCACACAAACTCAAGTTTGAGATATTGGAAAGCTTTCAAGAGATAGCTGGGGTTGAAGATAATGGTAGAACTTCACTGTAGATTATTTTGCATATATAACATTATTATTATTAGGAGCATATTACTATAGTCCCTAAGCTCGAGAYATTATAGTGGTGTAAACACAGTCTTACCTATTCTTTTCAACTTCTTTTTCTTTAGCCTCATTCCTCGGTAATTCTTTGTCATCACCTTCACACCCTTCATCTCTTAAGATCTCCACTAATAAAATGCAGGCCAAAATATAAATCACAATATTGAGTACAACCTTAACAACACCACCAAAATAAGAATCAATTCATACTACTCTTTCAAGAAGACCAAGGTAGTCGTGATTTTTTATGGTCTTCATAGCATCTATTATGTTCACCACAAACTTTTGCATTTCAATTCATCCAATTGATGCCAATGTTGTATTACGGCAACAAGTTTTTACACCACATGATAAAAACTTGACTACACCTTGATCATATGTGTAAAATACTTGTCCATGTGGTACGACATTGGCATCACGTGGACAATTTGATATGCAGCACGGTTAACATAACAGACGATATGAAGGTGATAAAAAAATCACAACTGCCTCAGTGTACTGGGAGGAGTAGTTTCTATACTCACAATTGCTTAACTCATGACCAAAGAAATTATGGAATCCATGAAGTGTTTTTGGAGCTTTACCTTCTGTACATGATAAGACTGTAAAACAAAACAGAACAGGTTTGATTGTACAACACATTTAATATCAAGTGTATATTTGAATTATTTTACATAATGACTTACATTACCTGGAATTCCTTTAAAAAGTACAATGAGTCTTGGACAACACGTGCAGAACAATACAACAATCAAAGGTTTTATTTGATAAATGAAATGTAAGATTTCGGATAAAACGCGTAGAATTAAAAAATGAATTAATTAATTAATAATAATAATAATAATAATAATAATAAACAATTCTACGCGTTTTATTAGAAATCTTACATTTTATTTATCACGTCTGAACTTGAAAGCCTCGAAGATACTGATGTTTGATTTGATTGGCACTTTATAAGTTACTTAACTATTGTAATATCTCATCTTTGGATTTTTCTCAAGAAAGCTTGAAATTACTAAAAGGAACACCAAAGTACAGTATTTCCAAGCACAATACTACCTACTTTTTTGCGAGAAAAACTGATATTTGAAATTGTACAACGAAATATTTGAGCATTCGATAAACAACATCAACAGTTGTTTCACGAAATAGGATTCCCTAAGACACTCAAAATATCTCAAACTTTACGCTTATATAGTCGTATTCTTACCTTTAGAAAGAGTTAACCTCTGTTTAACAGGATCTATACTGTGTACAATGCCCTCATACGTGCCTTCTTCTGTCTTGATGCGAAGACGTTTACCTACAAACTCAGCCATCTTGAATACGAGACTTACAGTAATCTCAAATAACCTGAACACAGGGAACCCATGTAGTAACAAAAAATACCTCTCATGACCCAGAGCTCTGCCTGACAGCGCATGCTTGACGAAATGAAGTCCTAGCTTTTGACTTTTGCCTCAGGTTTCCGTTGCGGTTAGTTTTTCAAACACATCCCACATGGAAAGAAGAGATTGTGGGTATTTAGCCAAAATCAATACAAAGTATTAATTTAGGTCTGCTGGTCATAGCAAGGGGTTAATTATCTACGGTCTAGGGGCCGACTAGGGTACGTCATTGTTTGTTTGGTGGGATATAGGTAAAAGAAAGATCCAACAAGCCACCACTAGGTTTTGTTCCAAGTTATCTTTCAAACGACGGGCATCCAGGCA